GACGGGCTGCAAATGGCCCCCGGGCCGCATGTTCGAGACCTCTGTCATAGAGTTTTAGATGTGTCTTTTAAAGCCACTTGGATATGGAAAATTAGGGACCAAGACTGCTGTAACAAGTACTGTATGATAAGTGCTCTCTTAGCTATTTCATAAGTTATAATATGTGCCCCACTTTTAAAGTTCATCTGATGAACTGTTGTAAGGATTTAAAACATGCATGTTGTCTGGAGAGTAGTTATCAATTCGCTTGTCAGAATGTATCTGGTTCTTCCCATTTCTGCAGCCTCTTCTAAGTCAGTTTCTTATAATACCCTAATGCATTACACACCTACTCCACTCCTACGCTTGCATTATTCAGTTGGTCTTTGATAACCTATGACAGCTTAGATTGTATGAATCTTGGCAGTGTAGCAGAGCTGAATGTGTATTGCTTTGTAATACTCCAGATGGGAGTGTCCCAACTTGAGCTTTGAAATGTGCCAGGAAAACTGACAAGGAGCAACACTCCTGTGACTAGTTACATGTCTCTTTTATACTTAAAACTGGATTTATTAGATTTGATATTCCTGATTTTTTCATCTTTACAGAGCAAATTCAAAGCAGAAAAAAAGCATTTTGCCTTTCTTTTCTGTACTTCCTAATAATCAGTGATTTGACTAGGATTTCCAAAAGCATAGAAACTAGTTGACCAAGCTTTGAGGAGTAAAAGATTAGTAATCGTTTGACTTCTTCAAACAGTACATGAATCATATAAATATGATACTTAACTGAAAAGTGGTATTTTAAGTCAATGTCAAAATTTCCTGATTATCTAAATTCTATGCTTGCCATGTCTTGTCATAGCCTTTTAAAAAATAACTTGCAGCTTTAAGAAGCTAAATCAGCTAAACTTTTTAACAGCTACTGTACATGGCAAAAATTACATTGTCTTAGGTTCACATGCTGCAGTTGTGCTGGATCCAGCGATATCTTTGCTTGTATAGAAGGACTCTGTGAATTGAAAGCCTGAGATTCTGCTCGCTCTCCACCTGGCAGACTTTCTAGAGTGAGTCCCTCAGTTCCTGGAAGCAGATTTATGGGCAAAATCAGCAGAATATACCTTCCTTCTTTTGCTAAGAATATTCATTTATTTAGCAGAATTCTATCTTCAGGAAGGTAGAGCTTTGTCTTTATAACTAATAATTTCGTATTTCACAGTTAAGCAATCTGGTGCTCTGCATATATTTTTTGACTACAGTTTCCATAATCCTAGGGTATTGGTTAGAGGAAGGGCTCTCTTAACAATTGTACATTGCATTTTATAATCTGTAGCTATTGAATTTTTGCAAAAAAAATGTACATGAGATAAACATTCATAGTTTTGAGGGATTAAATAAGAAACAATTTGTGTATTTTACTGTTGGAATTGTGGCCAAGTGATTTGGATGCTTGGCTTGAAATCTTAATTATAACTGTAGTTAAATATCTGTTTTAAATATTAGCAGAAAAAAATGTCAAAATAAGAGAATTAAATGTTTGTATTGTGACCTATTTATAGGTATCTTCAAATGAAATTCCAGCCAAAATCCTATTGACATAAATTTATGCTGGTGGAAAGCAATGATGCAATCAGCCGATGCTGTTAAAATGTAATTTAAATTAACAAAAAACTTAATTTAATCCGCCCTGTTTCAGTTTCTAAGGATCCTTAGGACTCCTTTTTGTTATGATGAAGCCTTTACGAGCAATGTAATGGGTGAGGAAGTATTGAATTGTCACCAGATCGCCACCAGTAGGATTGGGACCATTAACTGTGATCTGGTAGTGATTTTTGATTATTAAAGTCTCCCTTCTCCATCCTGAGGCTCTCAAAGGTCCCCCAAGGCAAAAGGGAACCATAGGAAACTGAAAGGGGGGGGGATAGGAAGATTTCAATTAATTAAAATTTTATTGGTACTAGCTGATGACATCATCAACTTCCAGTAGCATAAATGTACATGTTAGGATTTTGTCCACTGTTACTTTTCTGAGATATGTTTACTACTTAATCATAACAGTTTCTCTCTTCCCGGTCCCCTTCCTTCTGCTTTAATGGCGGTTTCATTCTTACTATGTGTTCTTCCTATAACATGTCTACCCACTTTTAGTTCAAAAACCATTATCCAAAAATGGTTTTTCATTTGGGTACATCCTAAATTCGTGAGCCCAGTAATCTTTTTTGGCTGTTTACAAACAGTCTAGGTTTTATTTTAAACTGTTCTAGAATGAAAGGAACAGAACGCTCCAGGCCTTAGATTCTGAAAAACAAACTGTCTGGTCTGCCTCTTCTTTCATGTCAGGATCATGTCATCTTCAAGCAGAGGTGAAAGATTTAAACCTCTGAAAATGTCAAGAGACCCACTGAAATCCTGTTGCATAGTCTTGTATATACTGCGAGGATGATGTCATCATACTGCTCATGAAAAAATTCCTTGGGTGATTTTGGGATTACTGTGACTTCATCACATTGTGTATGAGTTGCATGCATCCTGAAATTGTATTTAATCTGTGCTGATTTGTATTTAATCAGTGGTGGTTTGTCACTGTTGATGATATCAACTTTGTTGTGCACACAGAGTTGCACAATAGGCTTTCAGGCACTGTTATCTAAAAGGAGAGCTTGAGAGAAGAAGATAAGTTATGATCCTGTGAAAATGTATGTCTTACTAACAGTGGAAAGTTTCATTAGAATAACTTTGATATATTATTTGGCTCATGCTTAAGGTTTTCAAGCCACTGATTAGGTAGAAGCAAATACGTTTTCATTATGGAAATATGGTAATGTTCAAAAATCAGAGCTTAGAATCTCAAAAAAAGCAACATATTATGCATTTGTTGTTTTTCAAGAGTAATGAAATACTACTTGCAAGAAGTGTTAACGTAGCACGTTATCATCAACCTCTTAACTCGACTGGAGTAATGAGTAATAAGCAAGTTATTTGCTTCATCACTTTATTGACTTCAGTCAATAATCTTACTAAAACTATTTGTTATTCTGGAAAGAATGAAAATATAGACGGCATGCTTGGCTCTTTACACTTTGGAATGTAGGTATCTGTGGGTTTAATGACTTTTTCCACATTAAGGGTGTACCAAAAGCTGTCGACATAGGAGCTGTATAATTAACACTACAGCCACAATTAATAGTTCACAATCAAATTAAAAACACTGTAAGTAATGCAGTAGAAGAACGGAGTAGAAGAATGGAGTCTAACGAAGATACTTAGGGTAGTTCAGAGTGTTGGAAAAATTATGCTGTTTGATTCTGCAGTTTTCTTTTGTTTCATATAGGTAAATTTTCCTTAATTCTGAGAGAGAATATACAACTGATACACACTATATAACCTTTTTTTTAGGTGGCTCAGGTTACATGAAAAGTTACTGGTTACTTGGGAGGCCTATTTCTTGAGGTGTTTCTAGTGTTGGGAATCATGTGGGGTTTTCTGACATGGCGTGGACTTTCTTGTATGATGTAAGAGGTGCAGGTAATATAGTGGGACCTTGGTGTAATCGAGTAAATGTTGTATGTTTGATATCCTGAAATTGTCTTATAATCTAATGAGTATTAGGAGTATGCTTTGTGTTAGAAATACAGAACTAATTATAATGCATTTGAGAGAATGTAGCAAGAGGAAATGGAAAAAGAGAGAGATGTAAATGTGTTTTGTAACAGAATCTTATCGTAGATATAATACAGTATTACCAATGATTTAGCTATGAAGGGAATGTGGTTATAATATCGTGCTTTCACTCATCTACCTTTATTCGTGAATTCCACACTTTCAGTGCTGTTTGCTTAAGTGTGCTGTTCAAGTGTAATTGTTGTTGACATGAAGATAGTCCAAAATTTCATTTTGTAACTTGAAAGGTTGATCAGGGTTCTGAAGTGAAGTTTATGAATATACTCACTCCTAGTTGTTAAACTCACGAAAGTTTGTTTTTGATACAGGTCTGAATTTATTCACTGGCTGTACTATCAACAGTATAATTATACTTTTATAGAAATAATAGCATTTAATGTTTAAAAACTTGAATCATCATAATATTTCATATTGTTCTTACAAGTTTGGCATTTAAGAGGTTTCTTGGATTGCATTCTTGGTATCTACTAGCAGAAAGGGAGTAGTGTGATTTTTTTACTAGTTCTCCTCACAGATCTTGCTGTTGCTGAAAATACACTTCAGAAAATTGGGGAACTCTCCACAGTAGCATGAATGTTGATGTGGAAGAATAGACAGAAGCCACCTCTTCCATCTTATGTTAGTAAGAGATTCTGCTAGGTCAAATAAATTCCAGGTACATTCTTTTAGTGTTGAACAGTACTTTGGATAATATTTTAGGGTGCAGTATTTTGTAGAATAACTATAAAACACCATTATATGAGACTTATTGGGTTGGTTCAAGGGCCATTCTGCAGCAGCACCTTTTTCTGTAGTGGTCCACTTCTGGCCTCTTTTGGCCCGCTATATATCTTGTACTCCAACTCCTGTTAAGTGCTGCTAATGTGGCAAGTGGTCCGTAAGATGAGAATTTGGCTATGGTGGATTTAATTGATTTAAATAATGATTTAAATGAAAACAGAATTTTTTTTTGACAATTTTAATAAAAAATTTTTTTATTTAAATCACTGGTTCTTAACCTTTGGTTGCTCAGAAGTTTTGGACTGCAACTCTCAGAAGCCTTCACCACCAACTGTGCTGGCTGGGGTTTCTGGGAGTTGCAATTCAAAAACATCCGAGTAACAAAGGTTAAGAACCACTGATTTAAATCATCATTTAAAAAATCATGATTTAAATCAATTTGACTTGAAAAAAAATAATTGATTTTCATCCACCCTGGTTTTGGCCCACCAGAATCTGAATGACCATGATTGTATACATGGTCATTGCTGTTGTAATTTTGTCTCCTCTTCCTCCTACTCCTTCTTGTTTTTTTAAAATATATATAAAGATTACACATTAAGGCTTTTTATTCCCCCCCAGCTAATTCTGAAATAGAAGTTTCTGTGTCTGCAAGAAATATCCGAAGGTTACTGAGTTTTCAGCGGTACTTGAGATCTTCCCGTTTCTTCCGTGGTATTACTCTTCCAAATTCTTCAAACTTTTTAGATGATGATTACAATGGACAAGCTAAGGTTTGTTTACAAAATTATTCTATAACCTTGCTTTGAATGAAATACATGTTAAGGTCTGCAAGTTACTAAATGACTCTCACCAACTGCTCATGTTGCATCTTCTAAATACTTCTGAACTTAAGATCTGTCTTCTTTAGGAACAGATCTCAGAACAAGACCATTACAGTTGGCACTAAGGGACATAATTTGTGTGTATTAGGAAAAAATTGATTCAGTGTGAAGGCTTAAATGTATCTGTCTTATTTTAGAAACAGAAGATGACCAAGCTATCTTCAAGGATGGCAAAGATAATTAAACCAAATTGCTCTTTGAAACGTTGATGTATTTTTACACTGGTTGTTCTCCCAAGGCTAGATTCATTTGCATGAATCTACACAATTTATGTTGCTTTCAGCTATTGACACATTTTATTTCAGGTCTCCCCATTGTTTGTTTAAAAACTAGACAGGCTTGAACAACAGAGTATTTTTGGATTATTGTAACCTCTAAAACCACTGGATTAGAATTGTGTAACCTTTTTCCTGCATCCCTCTCATCATTGATTTTATTACTCATCAAAAAACTGGAGAAATATTTCTGGGAGGCCTGATTATCTGTCTAATGGATATCATCACCTTGTTTACTTCAAAATAGCCCCAAGTAAACTTTTTTCAAAATTGTAAGAAACCTTCAGTGGGGAGAAAAAGAAACTTCCCTGTCTGAATTGTCTTCAGCTGCCCATTCCCTTGTAAACTAAAGTTCATGTCTCTGCAGTATTGTATTGATTAAGATAAAGTGAAATGGGAGTAATGAAGAGCCATCACTGTGTTTTAAAGCAGCCTGACTTGCACAGTAGGGCAATCCAGGGATTCATGGGAACCTTGGCTTACCATGAATGATCAGGGCAATGGTGCACTTTGCCATAGTAGGAATAGCTTTAAAAAACAAACAACAAACAAAAAAGACAGGCAGTTTCACCCAGTGGCTTATTTCTTATGTCATCTGAACCAGGGTGCAGCTGCCACTCTGGATTCTAGAGAACAAATTCACAGGTTGTTTTAGGTTTATTCATTGGGTCTTTCTCTGGTTTATAAGAAGAGATGTAAATCAGGGTATAGTAGCTGTTCCCACATTTGAATGACAGAATAAACAAACTAGAGTGAAAAACAATAGAATATGAATGTATGGAGGTAAGTGCTATAACTCATAAATAACTGTTTTCTAGTATTCTTTCTTTTTTGCTTTCAGTGTATGTTAGAGAAAGTTGGGAACTGGAATTTTGATATCTTCCTTTTCGACAGGCTAACAAATGGTAAGACCACAGTTTGTATTCTTTCTTGAATCACTTTTTCTTCACTAGGCCTGTCCCACCTTCCTCTTTGCATTAAAAAAGCACCTTTTTTGAGGTGAATGAGTATGTTTCATGCAAGCTTAAATGTACAGTCCATGTCCAGTTGAAGTACTCTCCTAATGATTGCACAGAGTTCATTATTCAGGTGCAGATAGCCAATTTGAAATTTGTTATTTGCTACTTAACTATGTTTTCCTATTTGTTGCTGCTTACATCAAATCTAAAACTCTTCAAATACCTCCGTGGAGAGTAATAACTTTATCATGATATATCTTTTGTTTTGGGTGAGGAAATATTGTTACTCAGTTGTTTTGAAACATCCAATATATTCACATTTTCAAATATATTTGACTTCATATGAAGAAAGCTAGTCCTCACTTGGAATATGGTTACCTTAATTACCAACTGTCTTTTTTGTATTTACAAATATTCCTACAAATATTTAAGCTTACTGAAATTCTTGCTGATTGGTATTATAGAAAATGGTTATATTTGACTACTTTTCCTGGGAGATGTAGTCTAGGGACTCAGGCTCTTTCTGTGAAATAGAAGAAAACTATTGTAAAAGGTAGAATAGATTATGCATTCTAGCATGATTGGCTTAAAGAGCATTCATTCATTCATTGATTCATTCATAAACATGAAGAAGAAAAGAACCCTAAAGGGACAGATACAAGGGAAGAATAGAATCATGCTATCAAGAAGATTATTAGCCAGATATATTAGAACATAAGAGTTTGCTGGTCTTCCATTTTTAGCTGTTTGTTTTTGGAATGATATCTCTGCATCTTACAGTAATAGTAGAAGGCATTTGATTCATCCAGAGAAAATGGAAGACAAATACGAGGGGGTGCTGATAAGTATTGAGCTTTTTTCAGAAAAAAATTGAGCTAAGAAGCTGTAACTGCCACACTATTCTACATATTCCCCCAGGAAGTCAATGCACTTACAACATCTGTCCTGCAGCTTCTTAAGTCCCTGCAAATAAAATTCTTCCGACTGCTGGTGTAACCACTCATTTGCAGCATTAGTTGCCTCCAGAATACAGAGGTGCCCTGCATAGCGATGATAATCCGTTCCGAAAAAATTGTCGCTATCCGGATTCATCGCTGTGCGGGGAAAAAAACCCATTAAACACGTTTAATGTGTTCCTATGGGCAAAAAACCCACAGCTATGCGGAAATCCTCCACCCAGCCGCCATTTTCGCTGCCCGGTAAG